GGGGGGGTGCCTCCCCCCCCCTCCGGCCGGTTCCCCCGTCTCCTCCCCCCCCCACTCCCTCCGGCTCAATCTCCCCCCCTTGTCTCTGAAGTGAGGCCCGGCAGCTACAAGCTGCTTGGGCCTCGCTTCTCTCTCCCCCCCCCCGGCTCCGAAGCGACGCCACTCTCTTCCCCCCCCCGAAGCAGCGGCGACGAGGGAGTTCGTAGAGCGTTCCCTGTGCATGCGCAGGGGACACTCTGTAACTTTTGGCGGGATTTAAGTATCCCCCCAATATTTTTTTTCGGATTTACAGATTTTTGTGCACACCTGGGGACCGCCCCAAGTGTGCACGGAAATCTCCCTCCCCCCCCCAGGTGCCCCCGATCTGCGGAAATAAGTATCCGCACGCAGGGGGCCATGTTGGAAATTAGATATATAGATATGGAGCAGAGGTCCATCAGTGGCTATTAGCCACAAGGTATAGATAGGGGCTCTGGGGCAAGGGATGCTCTGTCTTCTTGGTGCTTGGGGGGGGCAACAGTGGGAGGGCTCCTAGTGTCCTGGCCCCACTGGTGGACCTCCTGAGGGCACCTGGTATTTCTGGCCACTGTGTGATACAGAGTGTTGGGCTGGATGGGCCTTTGGCCTGATCCAACATTGGCGTCTCTTATGTTCTCTTATGTTCAAATTGCCCATTTTCAACACTCTCTGTGTAAAGTAAGCCTACTGCCCATCAGCTTCATTGGATGCCCTCGAGTTCTACTGTTTGGGGAGATGGAAGGAAAGAAAACTCCCTTCGCCCCGTGCGTAACCGTATAAACCTCTATCGTGTCCCTCCTTGGTCGCCGCTTTTCTAAACCGAAAAGTTTAGAGACGGGGAAGGCGCTCCGACCCCCACGTCATCTTAGCTGCCCTCCTCTGCACTTCTTCCCGGCAAAGGCACTTAAGAGTGCTCAAAACGTGCGACCCTCCGTGTCATTCTGTAAAGACGGCCAATGCCAACACTGCCGAGGAGGCTCTGAGAGACAGGGGTGGCTGCCATCTGGTGGGGCCATGCAACAGGGAGAATCCAAACCACGGACACGCCAGTTCTGGGACATTCACAACCAGAAATGTGTGGAGAGGCAGGTCAGGTGTTTCGAGCAGCATGGATTCTAGACAACGAGGAGTTCTACACACTTAAAAAAGGTTTCCCTTGCTCAAAAGCCAGTCGAATCCGACTCTAAGGGGCAGTGCTCATCTCAGTTTCCAAGCCGAAGAGCCAGCGCTGTCCGAAGACGTTTCCGTGGCCATGTGGCCGGCATGACTAGATGCCGAGGTGCACGGAACGCTGTTACCTTCCCGCCGAAGCAGTACCTATTTCTCTACTTGCAATTTCTTGCTTTCGAACTGCTAGGTTGGCAGGAGCTGGGGCCAGAGATGGGAGCTCTCTCCGTCACGCGGCACTCGGGTCTCGAACTGCTGAAGCACCGACCTTCCAGTCTGCAATCCAGCGTCTTAACCACTGAGCCACCGCAGTCCTACATGCTTACAGAGGTCTTAATCAGCCCTAAGTTGTTGGAGAAGGAATAACTTCTCTACTGATGGAACTGTGTATTATTAGCAAATAAGAACGCACCAGAAATATGAACACATACCCCCCCCCCCCAAGAATCCAACATCAATTTTTGGCAGCGTTTTGAACATGCCTCCCAAGTTCAGAGGCTGATTTTGGTTTGACTTTTACACCTTTAGAGACCCGTGAGGGAGAAACGTGCTTACTGTGATACGGGTATGGAGGTGGCCGGGTCCTTTTGGAGGGGCAGAGACAGTCAGCCAGGAACACCATTATCTGAGGAGAGAAAGCAGAGCAGGCATCCCTCACAACAGAGCACAAAAACATTGCACGTTTTCACAGAATCACAGTTGGAAGGGACCTCCAGGGTCATCTAGTCCAACCCCCTGCACAATGCAGGAAATTCACAAATAGAAGAAGAGGAGAGATTGGATTTATACGCCGCCCTTCACTACCCAAAGGTGTCTCAGAGCGGCTGACAACCTCCTTTCCCTTCCCCTCCCCAAAACAGACACCCTGTTGTGAGGTAGGTGGGGCTGAGAGAGCTCTTGACAGAAACTGCTCTTTTTCAAGGACAGCTCTTGTCAGAACTACGGCTTGCCCAAGGTCATCCAGCCAGGTGCAAGTGGAGGAGGAGTGGGGGAATCAAACCCAGCTCTCCCAGATTAGACAACAGACACCCTGTGAGGTGGGTGGGGCTGAGAGAGCTCTTGACAGAAACTGCTCTTTTCAAGGACAGCTCTGATCAGAGCTACGGCTTGCCCAAGGTCATCCAGCCAGGTGCAAGTGGAGGAGTGGGGAATCAAACCCAGTTCTCCCGATTAGAGTCCGCGCACTTAACCACGACACCAAACTGGCTCCCAATACCTCCCCCCGCCCCACACACACACCCAGTGACCCCTGTTCCATGCCCAGAAGATGACAAAAAACCTCCCGGATCTACAGCCAAACCATCCTGGAGAAAAATGGCTTCCTGACCCCAAAGTGGAGATCAACATTTCCCCGGGCGTGTAAGAAAGGCCCACGAGAACTAAGCATTATTAAACATGACCATTCCCTTCCCTCTGCCCACGGACAGGACTACTTACCAGCCCCAGCACAAGTCCCGAAAACAACGTTGCCAAGGCAAAGATGGCGTAGGACCCCCAGGCTGGCAGGCCGAGGTTTTCCGTAAAGTAGTTGTGGCAGTGCTACAAGACAGGAAAGCACGTGAACACAGGGAAGCTGCCTTATACTGAATCGGACCCTCGGTCCATCACAGTCAGGGTCATCTACTCTGATGGGCAGTGGCTCTCCAGGGTCTCAGGCGGAGGTCTTTCACATCGCCTCTTGCCTGGACCTTTCAACTGGAGATGCCGGGGATTGAACCTGGGACCTTCTGCATGCCAAGCAGAGGCTCTGCCACTGAGCCACAGCCCCTCTTTACAGCTCTCCAGGGTCTCAGGCGGAGGTCTTTCCCATCACCTCCTGCCTGGTCCTTTTAACTTGAGATGCTGGGGATTGAACTTGGGACCTTCTGCATGCCAAGCAGAGGCTCTGCCACTGAGCCACAGCCCCTCTTTACAGCTCTCCAGGGTCTCAGGCGGAGGTCTTTCCCATCACCTCCTGCCTGGTCCTTTTAACTTGAGATGCTGGGGATTGAACTTGGGACCTTCTGCATGCCAAGCAGAGGCTCTTCCACCGAGCCACGGGCCCTTCCAAGCAGAGGTGAGGAGTTGGTTTGGGAAACTCTCAAGGGTTGCTGAGACCCGGGGAGGAAGGAAATGCGCGGCACATACCCTGATCCACATGGACAGCTGGAAGAGCGCTGACATACTGCTCATCCTGCAATAGAGGAGAGGAAACCATAGCAGAAAAACCTCTGACTTGGAATTCAGCATAAACAAAAACCCCAAAGGGCCCTTAACACACACACACACACCCAGGAGCCCTGAAAGACGGATTAGAACGGATAAAAGGAAGTACTTCTTCACCCAAAGTGAAGTGGTGGTGGCTACAAGCATGGACGGCTTCAAGAGGGAATTAGATAAGCATATGGAGCAGAGGTCCAGCAGTGGCTATGAGCCACAAGGTATAGATAGGGACTCTGGGGCAAGGGATGCTGTCTTCTTGGTGCTTGGGGGGGGGGGGGTCAACAGTGGGAGGGCTTCCAATGTCCCGGCCCCACTGGTGGACCTCCTGAGGGCACCTGGTATTTTTGGCCACTGTGTGACACAGTGTTGGACTGGATGGGCCTTTGTCCTGATCCAACATTGGCGTCTTCTATGTTCTTATGACTCTGAATCGTAGGTTAGACCAGAAAGGCTGAGAACACAAAGAACCCGGGGGGGGGGGGGATATTACGATGCAACATATACATAAAGCCATTCAATTGTGTGCACAAAACATAACACCAACTTGGTTATGTATGTTATATTATAATATGAGGAGGTTGGATTCATACCCCATGGCCCTTCACTACCCTAGGGAGTCTCAGAGCGGCTCACAAACTCCTCTCCCTTCCCCTCCCCACAACAGACACCCCGTGAGGTCGGTGGGGCTGAGAGAACTCTGACAGAGCTGTGACTGACCCAAGGCCGCCTAGCTGGCTGCATGTGGAGGAGTGAAGAATGAAACCCAGCTCTCCAGATTAGAGCCCGCCGCTCAACAACTACATATGCTTCCTGTGTGTAACTCTGCATTACGATACATAAATAAATACCGGTAATGTTTGGTGTACTGGTTAAACCAGTGCTGCACCGGCAAGGCGGGATATAAACTAAAAGTAATAAATAATAATAAATAAAGTGCGCAGACTCTAATTTGGGAGAACCAGGTCTGATTCCCCACTCCTCCTCCACATGCAGCTGCTGGTGTGACCTTGGGTCAGTTACAAGTTCTCTCAAGAGCTGTTCTCAAAGAGCTCCCTCAGCCCCACCTACCCCACAGGGTGTCTGTTGTGGGGAGGGGAAGGGAAGGAGAATGTGAGCCACTCTGAGACTCTTGAGTGAAGGGCGGGGCATAAATCCAATCTCCTCTTCTTATAGGCCAACAAATAAGAAACAGAAAACAGTTTTTTGCATCTACCCAATCACACTGCCTTACTGATTCTTGAGATTTGTTCTGTTCTTTAGAGTATGAATTAGGTGTGACTGTGCTACTTATAAGCCACTGGTGAAGGCTTTGTCCTGAAACATGTTTAGCCTTTTGTGTGTTGTTGTACGTACACATTTGCTTCCTGTTTTTGTTTTACCGATTGCTTGACTGTGCGACTGAACAACAACAATTACTGGTTACTGGTGTTACGTTTTGCATACATAACTGAATCAGTTTATTTATCTAATTATAGGGATTAACGTGGAATTCACTGCCGCAGGAAGTGGTGGAGGCAACAAGCACAGACAGCTTCCAAAGGGGACTGGATAAACACACGGAACAGAGATCGCTGAATGGTTATTAGGCACAAGGTATAGATGGAATAGAACACTCTGCCTGGGGCAAGGGATGCTCTGTATTCTTGGTGCTTGGGGGGAGCAACAGTGGGAGGGCTTCTGGACTTCTGGCCCCACTGCTGGACCTCCTGATGGCACCTGGTGTTTTTGGCCACTGTGTGACTCAGAGCGTTGGATTGGGTGGGCCACTGGCCTGATCCAACATGGCTTCTCTTATGTTCTTATAAGAGGGAATTGGATAAACATATGGCGCAGAGATCTATGAGTGGCTATTAGCCACAAGGTATAGATGGAACACTCTGTCTGGGGCAAGTGATGCCCTGGATTCTTGGTGCTGGGCAAGGAGCAACCAGTGGGAGGGCTTCCAATGTCCTGGCCCCACTGCTGGACCCCCTGACAGCACTTGGGTTTTGGCCTCTGTCCGACACAGAGTGTTGGACTGGAGGGATCACTGGCCTGAACCGACACGGCTTCTCTCATGTTCTTATATTGCACCATATTCCTCTTCTCCTCCTTTTCGTGTTCTCAACCTTTTTGGTTTACCCTAGCTTTTTTGCTTGGCCATTTCCCCCTTTTTGTGGTGCTCCGGATGGCAGGCCCCTGCCACTTAAGAGCCCATGTCCCATTGCTAGGCTACATGGCAGGCAGGGGTGGTTCACACGGGGGCCGCTGCACACTTAGGACTGCAACTCCAAGCGAGGACAGACTGCCATGGACAACCAACCACTTCCAGGGATTGTGGCAGTGGGAGATTTTTCCTTTCCTGAGGAGTCCCCCTGTTCCACAGAATTAACATAGGATGCTGCTGCTAATATTAGGAAACTTGGGCAGTTCCGAAGTTACAATGAATGCTTTTCAGGTAACAATTCACCAACTGCTGTGTGTCAGGGAGAGCCAGAGATCTTTCCCCATGTGGCAAAGCCCGCTTTGGGAGGATGCAGAGTTCTCTCCAGCATAAACTGCCACCACCTGAAGGTTAACTCTCCGTGGTCCTAACTGACAACCATAGAACAGTCCTGAGTTCCAACAGCCAAGAATGAGAAAGAGGGACACGGACACTCACACCCCAAAACAGCAGGTTGAGTTTGCAGTCCCCGTTGCCCGTTCAGGACATCGAGCAAGCCCAGACGATTACGACTGTCAAAATACCGTTGCTGCTTTTCTCCCCTCTCTCACTACTATGCACCACACACAGCATACGCTATAATGGTAGGCAGGGCCAGCTCACCCACAAGGCGAACTAGGCACTCGCCTAGAGCACAGGCCGGCCCTTAGGGGTGCTAGCAGGACCCGTCGTCCCCCCGCCAAAGCCCCCCAACCCCCGCCAAAAAGCACGACCGGGTGACCGCCGCTGCCGCCTCTTTCATTTCTCCCTCTAGACCACGTGCGCCCAAGGATGCGCGGCCGCCCCGCTTCCCCCGCAGTCCTCCTGCTTCTTTTTCTCACTTTCCTTCCCCTCCCCAAAAAGAGGGGGGGAGGTGGTCGTGGAGAGGTGGGCGAGGGAGCGGGAAGAAGCGGCAGCAGGAGGAGGACGAGGAAGTCGGAGCAGCAGCAGCAGCAGCGCCCCAGCTGGCCCACCAGGAAGCTGGTGAGTTGTTGGAACGCGGCCGCCTTCCACCACCTTTCCTCCCCCCCTCCCCGAAAACGTTTGATCCCAGAAGACTTTGGGGGGTGGTGTGGTGCGCACACACATACACACACACACACACCGCCTCTCACTCTCGCTCTCCCCGCCCCGGCGACCTCCCTACTCCTCCTCCCTCACCCCCCAGCCGAGCTGTGCGGTGGCCCCTTGGTGGTGGTTCAGCCAATCTGGTAGTCATTAGCGCGGCCAGGGCAGGCGGCGCTTCTCCACCCACGCCACAGCCGCACTGCAGCCCCAAGGGCTCCTGCTCAGCTGCCCTAATCAGCCCCCAAGAGCTGAGCCGAGCAGAACTTCCCCCGCAGCCCCTGCCGCTGGCCACCTGCAAGATCGTCGAGGCCGAGGGGGGGGCGGAGGCGGAAGGGGGCGGCCAGCTGGGAGGTGTTCAGGCCCCACCGGGAGGTTGGCATCTGCGCCTTGCCTAGGGTGTACAAAACACCTCGGGCTGGCCCTGATAGTAGGCCCAAACCAACCCCTTGGGGGTTAGAGGATGGGGGATTAAGAACATCGGCTCCTTCACTCTCTAAATGAGAGGATTCACCTGGAGGATTCCAGGTTTGGAATATCACTCGACCTTTAAATGAGCTTATCGCTGAAGACGAGGGGCCTCTGCCAGCACTTACAGGAATGAAGACGGGCCAAACCAAGAAGAAACAGGCTCAACGGACTTCCACTCTTGGTCACTGATGAAGTTGATGAAGTCCGTTTTAGTCCGCAGACCCTGGTACCGCCTAAACTCTCCATCTTTGCAGCTGCTCAAAAGAAGAGCTACCTGTCAGTCATTTTCGACCCCTGATATGCTACCCGTCAATCTCAAGTAGTTACAGATTCCCAGGTATTTTGTTATGCATCCTTTAATATGGTACAAGCAAGCAAAATGGCAAATTAAACATTATCTCTCATGGCTCCACTGTTGTTACTTCCAACCAAGCCCCCTAACTACAGCAAAAAGAGCTGGATCCAGTTTCACCCTGCCAATCACACACATACACAACAACTTTCTGAGAAGCCAGGTTCCAATCTGGTAAATCCAAACAAGAAGGGGGAAAGACTAGTGTCACGGGAGTCCCAAATATACACATTCCACTAGTATAAAACGCCATCAAAAATAATATATTAAACAATTATAAAGCTGGTAGTGTTACAACAACATGAATGCATACTGTAACTATAATAAGGCATAAGATGCAATATTTCCTCCTTTGAAGATAAGACATAAAGTCCATGTAGTCAGTGTGACTTGATAGGAGGAGCCCACATAGTCATAACATTTTCCAAACTGCCTTTGCAAAGACACTCGTTCTAGATACTTGGAAGATGCGTTTCCTTCGACTTCTTCAGTTTGCCGGCTGTGTCGGTGGAAACTGACCACAAGGTTCATAGTGTAAGAAGCAAATCATAGGAGAACACATGATTCACTTCTTACACTATGAACCTTGTGGTCTGTTGAAATTGCTGAAATCAGGTTTCACCTACACAGCTGGCAAACTGAAGAAGTCAAAGGAAACGCATCTTCCAAGTATCTAGAATGGGGCGTCTTTGCAAAGGCTGTTTGGAAAATGTTATGACTATGTGGACTCCTCCTATCAAGTTACACTGACCACATGGACTTTATGTCCAATGCTCCCTCTAAGCTGTGGAGTCTTGTGAACAAAAATTCTACACCATGAACTACTGGCATTAAAGTTGTGAGTGAGTGATTTGGCTACTGCATGAATTAGTTTGCTCTGGAGCCACATCCTTCCTGAGCTAAGACCAAAATGTGTGAGCTGGAGGCTAAGAAACTGTGAGCTAGCTCATACTAACTCAGGTTAGAGGGAACACTGTTTATGTCTTATCTTCAAAGGAGGAAATATTGTATCTTAGAAGAGATTGGATTTATACCCCGCCCTTCACTACCCAAAGGAGTCTCAGAGCAGCTAACAAACTCCTTTCCCTTCCCCTCCCCACAACAGACACCCTGTGAGGTAGGTGGGGCTGAGAGAGCTCTGACAGAAACTGCTCTTTTTCAAGGACAGCTCTGACAGAACTACAGCTTGCCCAAGGTCATCCAGCCAGGTGCAAGTGGAGGAGTGGGGAATCAGACCCGGTTCTCCCAGATTAGAGTCCGTGCACTTAACCACTACACCAAACTGGCATTATATTTACAGTATGCATTAATGTTGTTGTTGTGATACCACCAACTTTATAATTGTTTAATATATTATTTTGGCAATCTTTGATGGCGTTTTCTACTAGAGGTTCAAATCTGGGGCACTAGCGTTGGCAGGGATGGAAAATAATCAGCATGCCTCGGTGCTAAGCAACAGATTTTCCACCTGAGCGATCAGGCCCCAAGGATCTTCCCAATCCTAATCGTAAGTACCCCTCCCCCACTACTTATAGTCTGAAGTACTTACTGGTAGATGGTGGGGAGCGCTGTTATGATAAATCGCCCGCTCAGCCCTGAACAAAGACAGAGAAGCAAAGTCCGTCTGAAAAAGCAGATGTGTCTCTGGATTATCCCCCAAGACCACAGATGGGGGCTTCGGGTTTCTGCAGCCTCGTCTTCCCACCAGCATGTGCCCTTGAACCCCTCCGTAGGACAGGTGGCTCTCCGAGAGGTCAGATTCCCCCCCCCCCAGCTCTTTGCATTCACAATGCTCAGAAAACCAGACTATTTACTGATTTACGACACTTATAGTTCATATTTCTCACTGAGACCCGAGGTGGATTGAACGGTTTGATCCTATGCCAGGGGTGGCCAAACCGGGGCTCGGGAGCCACATGTGGCTCTTCCACACATATTGTACGGCTCTTGTCAGGGCGGCTGAGGAAGCAGAGGGGAGCCGTGCTTTCCCTCCCTCCCCCATCTATTCGTTTTCTTTCTTTCTCTCTCTTTCCACCTCTCTCTCTCTTAGACAAATAAATATAATTGGACTTAATAAATATCATTATCAATATCTGTTTTTACCCCTTTTTTATTTTCGGCAGTCTCATTCAATGTTAATCAAAAGCAAATGTGCATATTTTCCAATAAAAACATGTGTAATATTTCTTCATATCTTGCGGCTCTCAGACATCAGACGTTTGTTCTGCGTGGCTCTTCCACTGAGCCAGCCCGGCCGTCTCTGTCCCACGCGAACAACAGGACAAGACTAAGATCATTAGCAGGTCCTGCTCTCCAAATGCCACTTATTTGCTAAGCGGGCAATTTTTAGACACGTTCAGGTGGGGGCAGCCCTGCTGGTCTGAAGCAACAGAACAAAGTGTGGGTCCAGCGGGGGCACCTTAAAGACCCACCAAGTTTAACTCTGGGTATGAGCTTTCATTTGCTTGCACGCTTCGTCAGAATATAGCTTAAACGTTGTTGGCCTTAAGAGTGCCACTGGACTCAAACTTTGTTCAATTTTTAGACACGTGAATCTCCTTGTTCAATTTTAGACACGTGAATCTCCTTGTTAAATTTTTAGACACGTGAATCAATTTTTAGACACTTGAATCTCCTGGCTACCCACCAGGCAACTGCCTGCTGCGTCCTTGACCCAGGATCTTTGCCACAACAGACACGGACAAAAACAGGAGATGGGACATTTCAGGCAGAGAAAATGAAACGCAACAAGCACTTCTAGAAGAAGAGGAGGAGACTGGATTTATACCCCATGGCCCTTCACTACCCAAAGGAGTCTCAGAGTGGCTTACAAACTCCTTTCCCTTCCCCTCCCCACAACAGACACCCTGGGAGGTGGTGTCAGCTAGCTGCCATTGTATCTGATGTTACCTGCTTCACATGTCTTGTGTTCTTCCCCCCCCCCCCTGGGTTTCTGTAGCTTCTTTATTATGCTTCTTTGTATTTTGCGGAACTGGCCAAGGTCATGCAGCTGGTGGGGGGGAGTCGGAGCTTCGCTAAGCTTGTTATGGTTATCTACCTTGTGAACTGAACCTGTGTTGATGGTACTGAACTGTTATGTTCCCATGGAATAGGCGCGCGTTTCTGAGTTCTATTCCCGCCAGCGGGAACTGGCCTCATTGGCCCAACATGGTTCAAATCCCTTTATTATGCTATACCTGTGTATTGGTAGTCATTCCTAACAATGTCCTTGTTCCTGTCTGAACCATCGCTTTGAAATAAACCTTGCTTTGAATCAAACGTGGAGTTATTTCGAATGCCTGGGGATCCAACAGGTGGGTGGGGCTGAGAGAGCTCTTGACAGAAACGGCTCTTTCTATGGCACGCCATAGTTCTGATAAGAGCTGTCCTTGTAAAAGAGCCGTTTCTGTCAAGAGCTCTCTCAGCCCCACCCACCTCACAGGGTGTCTGTTGTCGGGAGGGGAAGGGAAAGGAGTTTGCAAGCCACTCTGAGACTCCTTTGGGTAGTGAAGGGCGGGGTATAAATCCAATCTCTTCTTCTTCTTCACAACACATTAAAAAACGCAGCACACTTTTCTTCATTAAACACACAAGTATTACCTACCTGGCTGCTCCGTCACGTCCACCTTTGCGATGTTAATTTCGAGGTCCTCTCCCCATTCAGCAAAGCTTTCCCATTCGGGCTGCAACTTCTGGCAAGCAGGACACCAAGGAGCATAGCTAGAGAAAGACGCTGACATCAGTGGCCGCTACATGGAGAGCAGAACTCGGTTTTAACCCAGACAGCAGCCGAAGAATAAGACCACAGAGCACCCTTAACACATTTTTCTCCCTCCACAAGAACGCTAGCCTTGACTGCGTCTTTTTAGGTCTTCAGCAAGAAGTTTTATCAAGACCTGGTATTTCAGCTTTGAAAGGCGCTGGGGGGGGGGGAGCAGTTGCAGAGATGTTAAGTTTGCTTCAACGAAGTTATTTATTTATTTAATCTGTATCCCGCCCACCCCACCGTGGCAGACTCAGGGCGGCTCAGAGTATATAAAAAAAAGGTAAAGGTTCTCTTGCTCGAAAGCCAGTCGAATCCGACTCTAGGGTTGCGGTGCTCATCTCCATTTCAAAGCCAAAGAGCCAGCGCTGTCCGAAGACATTTCCGTGGTCATGTGGCTGGCATGACTAAACACCAAGGTGCACAGAACGCTGTTACCTTCCCACTGAAGTGGTACCTATTTATCTACTTGCAATTTCTTGCTTTCGAACTGCTAGGTTGGCAGGAGCTGGAACTAGAGACAGGAGCTCACTCCGTCATGCAGCACACTCGGGTCTCGAACTGCTGAACTACCGACCTTCCACAGCCTGCAGTTCAGCATCTTAACCACTTGAGCCACCGCAGCTCCTTCAGAGTATATATACACATTAAAACAACAAAATATATTAAGACACAAAAGTAAAATTAAAACCATAGCATATAAAATTTAGATTTTAACGGACATAAATATTAATAAAAGATGGCGGCATTCTCTCAACATCCAGATGGTCAACTGCCACCATACTCCGGGTTCTTGCCAGGCTGTTCATTGTTGTCGGTGCTGATGCTGGGGCCAGGGCCACGATATTAAAAGGCCTGGTGGAAGAGCTCTGTTTTACAGGCCCAGTGGAACTGTAAAAAGGTCCCACAGGCAGTGTTCCCTCTAAGCTGAGTTAGTGTGAGTCAGCTCACAGTGTTTTAGTTCCGGCTCACACATTTTTGTCTTGGCTCAGGAAGGAGGGCTCTAGAGCAAAGTAATTTAGGCAGTAGCCAAATCGCTCGCTCACAACTTTCATGCCAGTAGCTCACAAAGTACAATTTGTGCTCACAGGACTCCATATCTTAGAGGGAACATTGCCCAAAGGGCCTTGATGTCATCAGGGAGCTCATTCCACCAGTGTGGAGCCACCACAGAAAAGGCCCTGGCCCTCGTCACAGCTAGCCTGGCTTCTTTAGGACTTGGGAGAGCCAGACGGTTTTGGGACCCCAGTCTTAGCAATCTCTAGGGAACATGTGGGGGAAGGCGGTCCCTTAGGTAGGTAGAAGAAGAGATTGGATTTATCCCCTGCCCTTCACTACCCGAAGGAGTCTCAGAGTGGCTTACGAACTCCTTTCCCTCCCCCTCCCCACAACAGACATCCTGGGAGGAAGGTGGGGCTGAGAGAGCTCTTTCAAGAACTGCCCTTAAGAGAACAGCTCCGAAAGAACTGACCCAAGGTCATCCAGCCAGGTGCAAGTGGAGGAGTGGGGAATCAAACCCAGTTCTCCCAGATTAGAGTCAGCGCACTTAACCACAACACCAAACTGGCTCCCTCCCTGACCATACAGGGCTTTAAAGGTAAGAACCGGCACCTCGAACCAAATCTGGCTCCACATCATGCTTCAGTTAATGGGTGTCAAACAGCCTATCCCTGCCTGGAGAGTAGAGGCCGCGTGCAAGGCTAGAGAAGGCAACCACAGGATAGGGCCCCTTGCTGTGCGTCACAACAAATCCCAGGCTGTCTCTGAGACCAACTCGGGCTGCCAACACCGGGGCAAGAAGTTAGGGGGGCAGCCCCTGTTTTGCATTCGGAAGACCCCAGGTCTTGCTTAGTCCATGGCGTGGTCAGTAAAGGCCAGGCGTCACCTCATGGGAAAGGCCTCTGCCTGAGCCCCTGGTAGTGGTTAAGTGCGCAGACTTTAATCTGGGAGAACCGGGTTTGATTCCCCAGTCCTCCACTTGCACCTGCTGATGTGACCTTGGGTCAGTCACAAGCTCTGTCAGAGGCGTTCTTGAAAAAGAGCAGTTTCTGTCAGAGCTCTCTCAGCCCCGCCTACCTCACAGGGTGTCTGTTGTGGGGAGGGGAAGGGAAAGGAGTTTGTGAGCCACTCTGAGACTCCCTTGGGTAGTGAAGGGCCATGGGGTATAGATCCAATCTCTTCTTCTTCTTCTGAACAGACAAGAGGGGCAAAGGGGTGCACACAACTCGTGGAGCCGGGGGGGAAGGAGCCTCAGCACAGCATGACGCCAGAGTCCCTCTCCTCAAGCTGCTGCTGCTGCCGCCCCCTCAAGGGAAGCCGGCCTCTGCAGCCGCCCAGAGTTCGGTTCTGATTCCGGGAGGTCTCCAGACCCCAGCTGGAGGTGGGCAACCCTGAGGCTAGAGCATGAGGCGACCGAGCCAGCCTTGTCTCCTCCTTGGCCCGGCGGCGGCGGCGGCTCCGAGGCAGGTCCCCGCCCCCCCTTAACCCCCCCCCGTGCCCCTGAGCATGCGCAGAGAGCGACTCACAACTCCACCATCCACTCTCCCTCCAGCAGGTCCCGCCAGGTCCCGTCGCTCAGCACCCGCATTTGGCTCCGCCCGGCCACCACCGCCGCCGCCACGACCAGCAGCAGCCACAGCGCCGCCGCCCAGCGCACCGCGGAGGCCGCCATCTTGGCCCACTTCCGCCTTCCCCGCGGCCGCTGCGCATGCCGGGAAGAGGGGGCGCGGCCCACGGCGGGGCGCGGCCAGTGATTGGAGGGCGGCGCGCGAACGCCGGCCAATCGCGCCTTCCCCTCGGTCTGTTCGCGCCGGCAGCCTTGCGCTTGCGCAGAGCGTGGGGGGCCGCGTGGCTTTGAGCGGCGCCGCGGCTGTTCGCTCCTCCCGCGTGGGCAGCCGCATGACCACGGAAACGTCTTCGGACAGCGCTGGCTCTTCGGCTTGGAAACGGAGATGAGCATCGCAACCCTAGAGTCGGACTCGACTGGATTTCGAGCAAGGGGGAACCTGTACCTTACTAGGGTGCTGCAGGTTCAGCGCTCCGCTGCAGCACACCTTGACGCTGCGACAGCCAGTACACCGTTGCTGCGGTCTCGGCCCGCTCGCTTCAGTCGCCTGCAGGCTCCCTTCCAACTCACGTCCTTCTTAGTCCACAGAGCAGCCCAGAGCCTGCTGGGACCCCTGGATCAGACCAGCACTCTATGTAGTCCAGGAGCCGAGCCGAGCATTTGAGTCTGTGGCCTTCCCCTGCTGCTCTTTCATAGGTCTGGTATTGATAAGTTTTCTGCCCCCGGATATGGAGGCTCCCTTCAGTAGCCATGGCTAGTAGCCAGTTTGGTGTCATGGTTAAGTGCTCCGACTCTAATCTGGGAGAACCGGGTTTGATTCCCCACTCCTCCACTTGCACCTGCTGGATGACCTTGGGCATAGCTCTGATAAGAGCTGTTCTTGAAAAAGGGCAGTTTCTGTCAGAGCCCTCTCAGCCCCACCCACCTCTGTGGTGGGGAAGGGAAGGGACTTTGTAAGCCGCTCTGGGACGCCTTTGGGTAGTGAAAAAGTTAAAGGTTCCCTTGCTCAAAAGCCAGTGGAATCCGACTCTAGGGTTGCAGTGCTCATCTCCGTTTCCAAGCCGAAGATCCAGCGCTGTCCGAAGACGTTTCCGTGGCCACCTGGCTGGCATGACTGAACACCAAGGCACATGGAACGCTGTGTCCTTCCCACCGAAGCGGTACCTATTTATCTACTTGCAATGTCTTGCTTTCGAACTGCTAGGTTGGCAGGAGCTGGAACTAGAGATGGGAGCTCACTCCAACCCCCAACCCCTAACTAAAAAGCCAAATAAAAGCCTGGCTAAGCCAACAGGGCAGAGGAACCAGAATCCCCCGCCTTGGCAGAAAATTTCACCCCTCCCATCTAGCGGCGTTCCATGGGCTCTGACTGGCTGACAATCACTTGGATTTGCATGAATCCCAAGGATTGGTTCAGAGCCCCGGAGGAGAGGTGGGACTTTTAAGGAGGTTTACCGCACATCTGGAGATCTCTCTTCCCACCTGGAGGCTGGCAACCCAATGTGCACCTCACTTCAGGTAACAGTTTGAGTGTTCCTCAAAGCATCCTAAAACAGACGCCGAGAGGCCCTCCCTCAGAGCCTTCCCTGCGCCCCAATGGCTGGGATTTCCAGTTTGGTGCGGGAGCCAGTTTGGTGTAGTGGTTAAAAGCGGGGACTCTAATCTGGGAGAACCGGGTTTGATTCCCCCCTCCTCCACTCGCACCTGCTGATGTGACCGTGGGTCAGTCACAAGCTCTGGCACAGCTGTCCTCGAAAAAGAGCAGTTTGTGTCAGAGTTCTCTCAGCCCCACCCACCTCACAGGGTGTCTGTGGTGGGGAGGGGAAGGGAAAGGAGTTTGTAACCCGCTCTGAGACTCCAAGTGAAGGGCAGGGTATAAATCCAATCTCTTCTTCTTCTTCTTCCTTCCCCCCCCACAACAGACACCCTGTGAGGTGGGTGGGGCTGAGAGAACTCTGACACAAACTGCTCTTTTTCGAGGACAGCTGTGCCAGAGCTTGTGACTGACCCACGGTCACATCAGCAGGTGCAAGTGGAGGACTGGGGAATCAAACCCGGTTCTCCCAGATTAGAGTCCGCGCACTTAACCACTACATCAAACTGGCTCTCTTGTAAGCCGCTCTGAGACTCCAAGTGAAGGGCAGGGTATAAATCCAATCTCTTCTTCTTGAAAAAGAGCAGTTACTGTCAAGAGTTCTCTCAGCCCCACCCACCTCACAGGGTGTCTGTGGTGGGGAGGGGAAGGGAAAGGAGTTTGTAAGCCGCTCTGAGACTCTGAGTGAAGGGCGTGGTATGAATCCAATCTCCTCTTCACTGTTAAGGACTGTGCCCAAGGAGCCAGCAGCTCAAACATGGTGCAACAAGCACTCACTGACCTCCGGGTTCTAAGTACAAAAATGGAGGCCCCTGATGCCGCACCGAAGGGCCTGCACTTGAAACCGGTACTCCTTAATGGCACCACCACGATGCCCCAACTGAACTCCCGGGTTTCGGGAACAGGCGCTGAGGAAGGCCCTCCCCGTGCTTGAATCGCCTGGCAGTGACGCACTGGCTTCCATACGCCGATTCACCTTCAGACTAGCTCCATTCCTTGAGCCCACAGCGTAGCTCTTTATTTCCCTTTCACTTTGCATCGGGGATGGCGTGCACTTGAGTCTTTGAAGCTGACGCAATGAAAGGGTTTGGAAAGATGGAAGGACGTCCTCTGTCTCTTCGATCTCTCTTCCGACACCCGCTCAGCCGTTTCCTTTTGCGGGCAGACGTGCTCTAAGAGACTCGGCTCCCTTTTCGTGGCGATATTAAGCAGAGAACCTTTCACGACTGCCATGAGCACAGGAGGCTGCCATGCACATACGGATCACGGGCTCCAGCACCAAGTCGGGGGCCCTCCCTCACTTTCAGGGCTAATCACGAATGCAGAGGAGGGCGTCTCTCTCCCTGTGTACAACATCTACGGTTTATGTCCTGTATCTCTCGGCATCTAATTCAAAGACTTTAGTATTCTCAGCGCTGCACTTCCATCGCTTCCAGCTCACCTGCAACAGGGAGATAAAAAGATCCATCCAATTACAGGCGAGCCGGGGTTTCTCAGATGTGCTATTCGCCAAGCACTCTCTGCTGCCGTGGAGATGAGCATTGACATTTGAGTGATTAAGCTGACATTTGCTTGATAAAGGTTTTAATTATCAGGATTTTTGGATTCGAGAAGAACTTCCACAAACAAGCCGACTTTCCCAATTATTTCTTAAGCAGCCATCGATTTTAACAGTTGCCCTGATGAATATGCAAAATGTAAACATCTGTCATGATTTTTATTCTCTTCCTCCTTAAATGAGCATTTGAATATTTGCTTGCTCCTGTCATCAAGTCCCGAAGGCTCTTTGGCTTCTGTCGATGGGTGATAATTTTCTTCAACTGAATTTATTTTTCCTGATTTTTAATGAACCTCATAAGCAGGGAAAAGGAGGGCAAACGGATGCTGTGGGTCAGATTGAACAGAATAATAAGAAAAGTCCCCTTTGCATTTGTCTTTGCTTAAACAGACTGCTGGATCTATAAGCTTAAATAACCTTGTCGAATGAGAGTTTGCCAAGTACCGCTTGGCAGATTCCTGGAGATTCGAGAACAGTGGCTGGGAACTGCAGAGTTTGGGATAAAAAGGGAGCTCGGTAGAGTGTACTTAGATGGCATCACGGGATGGGTGTTGAAAGAGTGCGCTGACCACTTGGCAGGGGTCTTTACTAAGATCTTCAATCGGTCCTTACACCAGTCTATTGTTCCGTCTTGCCTAAAGTCCTCAATTATTGTTCCCCTGCCCAAAAAATCCACAATCAGCAGTCTAAAGGATTATAGACCAGTTGCACTCACTCCAGTTGTGATGAAGTGTTTTGAGAAATTGGTACGTAGTCACATCGTCTCATGTATTCCATCTACACTGGATAGTCACCAGTTTGCATATAAGGCAAACAGATCCACAGAGGATGCCATCAACACTACTCTGCATACTGCTCTGTCACATCTGGAGCAGCCGGGGAGTTATGTGAGGCTGTTGTTTGTGGATTTCAGTTCTGCCTTTAATACCATCCTCCCAGATAGATTAGTGTCCAAATTGGAGGGCCTTGGACTCTCCAGCTCCATATGTTTCTGGATTTGGAACTTTTTGACAGCCCGCCCCCAAAGGGTCAGAGTAGGGTCCTATATGTCCACAGCCCTTACCCTTAATACCGGTTCCCCACA